CTTCCCCCAGCTCGACACAATGGCAGCATTTTGAAGAAAGAACGGGAAAATTTTTGCAAAACTGGGAAAAGGGGGAGGTCTGATGAAATTAGGAAGATGGCAGGTGGGATAAGGAAGGCGGTCGTCCCGAAGGACGAATTTTCGTGGAGGTGGAATAATCATTTTCCCCCCTTTTTCCATTTCTATCCATTTTCAGAGGCACTCCTCACTTCGTCATGTTTTCGACCGTGTCTCAAGTGGAAAAGGAGGGGATAGTTTCCCTGGGCGAGTTTTGGGCTAACCGGTAGGTTGCATTCATGGTCAAGGCGGCAACAATATTTTCTTGACCTTGATTAGCTCAACTGACGCAGAAAGCGTTTTCTCACTCTAAGGACATCGAAAGGTCATTGTAAGAATGAAGTATGCTCTCAGCGCCTCGAATCGTATGCGGCTGACTATAAACAGATGGAATGCTACACACTAATGAAAGCCTGTTGGAATGCATGGCGCATTCCAACAGGCTTTCATTAGTGTGTAGCATTCCATCTGTTTATAGTTCTTGCTTCAAACTTTCAGATGGCTCTGTCGGAAGAAGAAAAAACAGTTTCACGGAGTGTTTGGCAACATTGCGCAATGTGATTTCGCTGGCTGCCACGTGCGGCAACCATGGGACGGCTATTGTTACCATGGAGAAGGTGTCGTTTAGTCGTTTCTTTTTTTTGCACTTCGATTTTCTTGATTCCTAGGGGTTTCTATAGAGAGCCTCTGTCTGAAATGGTTCATGACCTTCTGACGGATAGCAAAATTTGACGCTTATCTTTGCGAAACCGGGTTGAGTCAGCCGGCCTCTACGCTTGCTGACTCACCTCACTTGCGATGTTCACACGGGTGTCGTTAACCAGTTGTTCATCTTTTCAGTCATTTTTTACGCTCTGGTTTTTTGCAAGCATCCACGAAATTCATTATTGGAATTACTTATATTAGTACTGTCCTCTATTCATATTTTTACCCAATCAGAAGTCTTATTTTCTATCTGCTGTTACCTACTATTTTGGCACCCATTTTTCGAAAATGTCGAGTCGCTGATTTCTTGTTCTCTTATTCTCTCCATTCGCAATTAATGGTGTCCGAAAAATTAAATTTAAAGGCATAAGGCACGATAATTAGGTACTTACTCGAAAACAGTAGCGGGGGTAGCGGGAAATTTCGTGGAAAAGTGGGAAATTCGACGAAAAAGTGAAGTTGAATGGCCAAAAAAACGTGCGACAAACCTTTGTTCTATATGGAATTGGACGTGCCAGTGGTTTTGGACGAGTTTTCCCACTGATTCGTAGCCAGCAAAAACTTCGCTGGCACGTTATGTATTCATAGTGGCCCGGTTGTAGCAACCGCTTCAACATCAATGAACTTCACTGAAAGAAGCGATAAGAATACCAGTGTGTATAGTGTAGTTCTCTGCGGACGGTTGGGCGTGTCAGGCGGGATGAGTTTGGCGCGATGCCAGATCCATTCTCCACCGGTTGTTAAAGAGAGCAGTGATAAGACTGTATCAAATTGTTCGTATTACTGGTTTTCTACCACTAGTCGCATCGCCTTCAAACCAAAAAAGGCAGAGAACGGCTTTGACCGCGTGACACACTCATACTGCCTGACACGCCCAATCCGTCCGCAGCGAACTAGAGTGTATGTGACTGTGCGGCCAGTTGTGGGTGAGCGGTTTCGTAGCGATGTTAGCGTCAGGCATGTTGCGTTCCTTGTTGCGGCGCGGTACCCTTGCTGAAGAAGCGCCACGTTACGCCTGCTAAGGGGCACAATATTATTCAAAGCTAGGCTTGTTGACCCTGTACTCCTTGTCGATTTATCGTGCTATTGAAGGTGTTTTATGAGGAGAATTGAAAGGCTAGAATTAGAGGTGTGCGGCCCTGCTCCCTTGCAGAATGGGTGGCTTTGTTTCAAAGGAATCGAGATTTTTGATGAAGATGAATTGACCATTGTTACATTGATCAAAACATTTCAGCTAGCAGTGCTTCCCTGGATAATTGGTAGTCGTCCGGGTTCAAAGTACTGAACATACTGAACAACTCCTGTTCACCGTCATCTAGGTTGGCCTTTTACTGAGTGGCTGCCGAAAGTAGCTGAACACTGCAAGCATGAAAATCGTTCGAATTTTTCCATTTTTAGAGTATATAGAGATTCTTTATATGAAGAGCCAGCTCCGCCAGAACCAGCAAGATGAACTTGATGCTCTTATTAGCTGTATTGGAGAAGAGTTCGTTTCTGTCAAGGACGACGAACAAAACCTACAAGGCATCATCTCGGTAGCCTTGGATCCATGTTCGAAGACGGTTTTGATTTCTGCCGCTGATGGAACAGGTAAGTCAGACGTTTTTTTCTTAAATTCTTCATAGGATACCCTCTATTAGAATGGGATAAAGGATAAAGCTTGGGTCTCTGATAAAGCACTGGCCTCTAAATCGACTGGATATCGCTGGTCAGTTTATAGGTCAGATCACCTTCAAAAGCTACCGAAATCTTTGATGAAAATATGATGTGTGGCGCACCTTGCGAAGGGGTTTGACCGACGCCAGGCTTCATTCTTTAGTCCTACCAGTTCATCATGTTTACAGTTATACTTTACTCACCTTTAAACGCTCGCTACCTGTTCCATATAGCCTATCGACAATTCGAGACGGTGCAGCTTCCACCGGTAGACCTTCTCTATGAACTACCCATAAGTTATCCTCACACGAAGGCGGCGATCATTGACGTCGAATGTATTTGGATGCCGACCTCTATGGTTCGTTTTGAATTCAATGCATTTTTCTTTACTATCCATCTTTGAGTGCAGATGGCGCAGTGGTAAAAGTGCTGCCAATATTCAAGGCATCCTTGCAATATATCGCTGGGTTTTTCGTGAAGTATTTCGGAAGGTATTAATATTGGCTGACCGCAGAAGCTAACCATAGGTTGTTCCGGAAGGGTATCCTCCCCGTGTGGTTCGATGATACTTCCGAATTCCCATCGTGGAACTCTTTTTTACGCTTATTCCTATATATACCACTTTGGCTGGCGAACAGTACTGCGCGCCTGATATCATAAAGCAATGCGAATCAATTTACTTTGGTGAATGACGATTGATGCCAATTCTATTTATCGATAATCATGAAACATTCAAAGTAAACAATAAGAGAGAGAGAGAGAGAGAGAGAGAGAGAGAGGAGGAGACGAGAGAGAGATGAGTGGGAGCCTATCAAAAACCCAACAGAACAGTTTCGGCGGGTCACCAGTTGACCTTGATGACCTTCTAGCAGTCCCAGAATTTTGAACCAATATGCCTCTCGTGAAAATCTTTGTCTAGAAAACAGTAGGAAGCATTTCAGTTTTCTTGTGCCTTACGAGGTTGTTAGGTGGAACATTTATTATTAAAGGCTGAACGTTTCGACTCTATTCTACTTGCAATACAATTAGGCCTTCAAAATAAATGCGTCAGCCTAACAAACCTCGTAAGGGCACAAGAAAACTGAAACACTTACTAACATGCCGAGGTTGCAAGAAGAGAGAAGCTGGAGATTACAGTAGGAAGCGTCGCTCACTGGAGATATATCTGATTTTCCCCGTTTCACGCGCACTATACATTCCCCCCCCCCTCCCCCTTCTCGACCGTAAAGCATTTAGTTATTGAGTCCATTACACACTTAGACTGCAATACCTAATAGTTAGAAGTATAGCGGTGAGGAATAAAGTGAAGGTAACCTCTTATCTATTCTTATCAACTGTTATAATCGCGCACCTGTCACTAGTGTCCCAATGTTCCACATCACTTACCATTCGAGTAGTGAACAAAGATACTAATCTCAAGAAGGAAGATGACGGCCATATTGTTGTTTGTCAGCCCATCAGATTCCTATCCCTCTCTGCCACACGTCAGTAATATCCTAGTCACATCCCCTACATCATCTGTTATCCCTCGCACAGGATGTTATCAGTACCTATCAGTTTCTGTCATCCACAATAGTATTCTCCCCATGCTCTGTATCACGCCCTGGAGCCAACGTCGCTTCATTGGTGAGACCGGCGCTATGATGTTCACGACCCTCCCTTTCTAGCGCTCCTTGTCAGCTCATATCAGTGGCTATCAGTTCCTGTCACCCAATAATATTCCAGTCGCACCCACTATATCACTTATGAACTTGAACTTTCTTTGTCTAAATCAAAGAACCGCTATGAAGTCCTTGTCAAAACAAAACACACACGGCACACACTACAATAGATCAAAACTTAGCGGATTTGATATTACAGAGGGGGACCAAAAAAAGTCACTTTTCTTCATTGACTTTCGAGGCGCTATAAGTTACACTTTATTGAATTCTGATCGGACATTTTTACCACCATATTAAAGAGCATATCAAATACTATCATGACACTCCGCCAGCCTTCTGGACGAGCGCCATCGAGAGATTCTGGCACGCGACCGCGATGTGGTGCCTGAGATCAGCGAGATCGTTGATTTCTCCGCCACTGTAGACCACCCTATTGAACTCCGCCCAAACCAGGTAATTGAGGGAGTTTAGGTCAGGTGACCTGCTTAGATATTCCACCTTCATCAGGTACTCAGCCCCCTTCCATTCCAAGTAGGCGAGTGTTTCTCCAACGCCCATCGATTTCATGTCGTGGCACTCAATGCTGTAACAGTACAAAGTTTCCAAGATGTTACGGGCGACCACATGTGAGGAGGATATTCTCACGAGTTGCCCAATGTAACCGCCAGACCTCACCTTCAGTCCGGGGTCCACGAAAAAAATATTGGTCTTTCCATTCCAGGTACGTCCGGTCCATACCATCAACCCGCGCCTTGGCGACTGCGGTGAAGATGATGTCCTAGACCGTGGCGACGTTGTCGGAGCTGCTCGATGTTGGAGGTCATCCAGATCGAGAGTACTGGTCTCCAGGTAGCTATCCATGGGTGACTCCATACTAGAAGTTTCGCAGCTGTTTGGAGGTGACATGAATTCCAAAGGTCTTCTCCAGTCAGGCTGCGACTGGAGATGACTTCATATTTTGGTGTACATGAAGGTGATGGGCGAGAGCCAGCTCCTGCTTATAGAGGAACATCTTGGGTATCTTCCGCCCTGGTACTCGTATCCACGTCCTCTGTCTGGGCAGCGAAAACTTTGCTGATATGTGACTCGGTCGAAGTGACTTTTTTTTGCCCCCCCCCCCTGTATAGTAGGATTTTTTCTTAGTTCGAAGCCTTGATCGGAGTAACACCCATTTTGACAGCGCCCCTCCCGCTATGTCCTAAGCTTTGCTTAATTTATGTACGCATAGTATAAGTACACTTCTCATGGTTGAACTTTGCGCCTTGGGCTTGTGAATGCTTTTGTTCTCCTGTAAACCAATTGAGTTATCACAAGAATGCTGAGTTGTGGGCAAAAGTCGTGCCCCAGGCGGGAGTCGAACCCGCACCTCACGCTTTCCGGGCGAGTGCGCTATACTAATCTAATTCGTTTATCAAAACTTCAAAACACAATCCTACAGCGAGTGCGCTATGCGCTACAAAAACACCTTCAATTGAGTTGAGTTTTTGATGTTGGATTTTCACGAAGAAAAGAAGTGATCTTGCATTCTCTATGGATGAGCAATCTTTACAGAGGAATAGACTTCTCAAGCGTCTTCATGATATTCTTGAAGCGAACATAGGGTCTCCAACACTGTTTCTGTGCTATGAGGATGTGAAGAAATTTGTAGCCGAAACAGATCTTGAAGAAATTCGTCTCGAATTTAGCGATTACGCGAAGAAACATGTGAGTAGTGAATTTCCACTGTAAATCCTTACACTGCAGTTCGCTGCAGAGGGCGTGTCAGGCAGTATGAGTGTGTCATCCCATCAAAGCTGCCGCCTGACACGCCCAGGCGTCCGCAGCGAACTACACTATAATTTTTGAATTATCTGCAGAATCTGCGACCGATAGAATTGCTGAGACGAGTACGAGAAGAAAGCGAAAAGGCGGAAATGACTGCATTC